GCTGCTCCCTCCGGGGAAAGTCTTCCCTCCGCCTGCCCGCCCGCCCGCCTCCCGTTCCTACTTCCCCAAAAGAGGTTGGAAGCGATGACGGGGCGCCCGGGCTCGGCTCTTGCCCGCCCCACCCTCTGGCCTCATCCTGCCCTTCTCGGCCAGCCGGGGCGCCGTTGGCCGTGCGGGACCCGTCGCTCCTGAACGGCAGGCCCGAAGGTCCAAGAGGGTTCTTCCCCTCCCCTCTCCTGTTTTCCGCTGAGTCCGTCGCGGCTTCTTGCAGACCCCTCTGCCCTCTCCCAACTCTCTGTCTCTCTCTCTGTCTGTTTGTGTGTCTGTCTGTCTGTCTGGATGCTTTCAGGTCCTGCTGGGGATCTTCTTCAACGTCCACTCGGCCGTCCTGATCGAAGATGTCCCCACCAAGGAGGAGGACTTCAAGTGAGTTCGTGGTGCATCTCTGGGTCTGGGACCCCTGGGGCAGCGTAGGGGGAGGTGTTTGAATAGTGCTGCTGGAGAGCCAGGGGGTTCCCCCCTGCCCCTCTTCTCCCTGGGGCTGGCACCACGTTCCCATGGGGATCCTGGCCCCTGCTGAGGTCACCCATGGCCATTACAGCACCAGGGAATGTCATGGGTCTCAGATTTACACAGGGATGGGAGGAGGCAGTTTAGCCGTGTGGGCTTGCAGGGGTGGAGGTGGCCGGCCTGCCTTTGAGGGTGAGACTAGAACTCTCTCTCTCTCTCTGTTTTGTGACAGAGGTGGCCCAAGCCGGATCTACGGTCTCTACGAACAAGTCAGCTACAACTGCTTCATTGCGGCCGGCCTCTATGTTCTCCTGGGGGGCTTCTCCTTCTGCCAAGTGCGCCTCAACAAACGGAAGGAGTACATGGTCCGCTAAGGACCTGCCCCCTCTGACTCCTCCTCATTTTTGGAGGGGCTGATGACTGTGGCTTCTCTTGCAGGACCCTCCTCCCCATCTTGTATTTTTTTTTTAACAGCCCTGGCCTCCATTCTGGGCTACAGAATGTTTCTTTTCCACCATGACACCCTCGGGCTTCTAAACTTGATTTTGGCTCAGATGGACTAGTCAGGGTTGGTGGTTGGGGAAAAGTTAATTCTGTTTATGTCATGGGCATTTGGGCTGTAGAGGGGAGGGGGTTCCTTGCTATACTTGGATTACACAACAGCCCCACTTTCCCCATCACAAAGGCCCAGGGAGCAGCATCCCGTGTCCAGGGTATGTTGCTGCTTTGGTTGGCAAGACCTGGATTTCAGTGTTGTGTAAATAGTGTGGACACTCCTCGTTCTGTTCCTGCTGTCCCCATCTCCCACCCCCACCTGAGAACAGTGAATAAACACCCACCCACTCTTACCAGTCTCCAGCAGACAGTAACAGGATCTCCTGCCTGCTGTGTCAGGTGCTTTGCTTCACACAGTGCTATAGCTGGTCTGCTCCAGTCCCTATCCCTGTCATGTTCTGGTTCTGTTTTTGATGTCCATCGTCATTGTTTGTTGTGTAAACGTGTAATTCTTACTGGCTGGTAAGGACTGGGACTGTGTGTGCATGTGCAGTGGGGGGGGGGAGCATCCCTGTGAATAGGACCAAAATATGACTTGTAAAAAAACCCCGCCTGTTGCTGTTTCTGGTGTTTGGAGGTGCAGCTCAGAGGTCTGTGTTCCTTTTGTGGTGGAGGTGACCGCCACTCCTGCCCCAGGAAGTCAAAGCTGCTCTGAAGACTGCTGCTCAGGGGAGTGGGTTGAAGAGCCCTCTGTTTGCAACCAAGACCCTAGTAGTAACGGACTTGGCCCACTTTCATCTCAGGTGGAAGGAGAAGGAGGTGCAACTCTGGCTGTACATTGGTGGGATCTGTAGCAGCAGCAGTTTCCCTGCACAAAGGGGTGGATATTTTGAAAGTAGTCCGCTATTTCTCTAGACATACGTGCAATAAATAGCATTTGAATCTCCTTGTGCCTCTTTGTGTCTTTCTTTTCCATTTCCCTTTTTTCCTGGTGGTCACAGGAGGAGGCTTGCCTGGCCAGTTACTTCTGTATTTCCTTGTTGTCCATGTCTTTCTTTGTCTACTTTCTTCTGCGTGTTTAACCAGATGTTCTATTCAGCCCAGCGGGGACCGTTCCCAATTGCACTCTAGCCTTGGGCAAAAAAGTGTACCTGCCACTGTGAGGAGGCCTTAGTAATTTGCTGCTGGGGTGGCCTAAGGGCTGCCCTGAGATCATGACCCCCTCAGGAGAGCTGGCCAAGCGCTTTGGTGAGATGGACAGGGGACCTTTCCTCTTTCAGGCTTTGCATCTCCTGGAAAAGAGGAAGTCGCTGGATGAACCTCCTAACTGTCCAAGGAGTTGTTTAATCGTTAAGTCATGTCCGACTCTTCGTGACCCCTTTATGGACCAGAGAGCACGCCAGGCCCCCTGTCCTCCACGGCTTCCTGGAGTTGGGTCAAATTCATGCTGGTCGCTTCAGTGACCCTGTCCAGCCACCTCATCCTCCGTCATCCCGTTCTCCTCTTGCCCTCGCACTTTCCCAACATCAGGGTCTTTTCCAGGGAGTCTCCTCTTCTTATGAGATGGCCAAAGTATTGGAGCCTCAGCTTCAGGATCTGTCCTTCCAGGGAGCACTCGGGGTTGATTTCCAAGGAGTTGAAGGTCCTCCAAAAGCCAGAAGGGCTTGGGTCCAGATAGCCCTTCTATCTCTTCGGTCTGGGCGGGGCGTTTTGACCTCTATGGCAGCAGAGGCGCCTTAGAACCCTTCCCCTTCGAAACCGCTTCCTCCTTTCCCAGGCGGCCCGCTGGTTTCCTCCCATTGGACAGGAGGAGGAGGCTTCTCGCGTGACGCATTACGGACGGACGTCGGAACAAGAGACTTCGCCATAGAGTGTTGCAGGGCGGAGCGCCCACCTTTGTAGCCTGCGGCTCCCATAAAGGAGAGAAAGAGGGAGGGTTCTAAAGGAGGCGGGCGGAAGGGGCGCCGGCGGTCGCCATGGAGACTCGCGGCCCGGCGGGGGCTTGACCATAGAGTGTCTAGGAGGTGGGGGAGAAGAGCGGCCCGGGCCTTTCCCCAGCCCCGGCACGGCGGCGGCGGGGACTACGGCGGCCGCGATGACTTCGGCCTCTACCAAGGTACCCGTAGGGGGAGAGAGGCCGCTGCCTGGCGGAGGTTCTGGCAGGGAGAGGCAGGGCGCCTCTGAGCATGCACAGAGTGCCGTGCACGGGCGAGGGGGGCTGCTGGAGTCAAAGCCGCCCCCACCCCCACCCCCGGGCGGCCCCATGGAAGGGCGGCGGCTTTTTGGACTCTAGGTAGCCGGCTGGCTGGGGATGATGGGAAGTGTAGTCGAA